TTTTTTTTTTTGCAGTTTGATTTCCTGGGTAAAGATTCAATAAGGTATCAAAAGGAAGTGGAGGTTGAGACTCCCGTGTTCAAGGCAATCCAAGAGTTTCGAAGTGGTCCGTAAATTGTCTGCTTTAGCAGTATACCTGTTCTTGTTTTATCTTGGAGTATTTTAACATGGAAATTTGTCTTGTCCAGGGAAAAAGGGCAGTGATAATTTATTTCATGAACTTGATACCAGTAAATTAAATGCTCATTTAAAGGAACTAATGCCTGGTCTTACCGCCAAAGTCTTCCGTACATACAACGCATCTATTACATTGGATGACATGGTAAGATAAACATCTGACTCCTTGCCTTGAGTTTGTGATTATTTATGGAACCAGCAGCACCTGGGAACCAATGCCAAGTAATAAAATTATGTGGTGCTCCTTTTGTTGACATGTGAACTGTCATATGTATTTGGCTATTCTACTGTCCTGAAAGAGATTTCCAGAGGCTGCATTTTAATCGATGCCAAAGTGAAATAGTTATGGATGGTGTCGAAATTCATAAATCTTCAATTGACTAAATATTCCTGCCGTTGTACAAATTGTGACCCTGACCTTGCAGATCTTTTGCTTCCAGCGAGTGATGATGCTTTATCTTCAATCTTCTTAAATCTTAATAAATTAGTGTTCGCAATTTGAGAGGGCCGTTCTAGCTGAATAATAAATCCATTATTATTAATCAAATAAGTAACTTAGACTTCATAAATCTGATAGATTTTTGGAATGGGTTATTATTTCTGCATTTTTGAAACAACATAGATAAAAATAAATGGAGATATTATGTGATTAGTTAGTATTCAAAATATTTTTTTATATTGGCTTGTAGAATTTTCCTTTGACTTTATACACTTCGGTGGCTTTCATTTTTGCATCCTGTTATTTTTCACCAGCTAATTTATTGGATTTGGAAATGGTAAGGTAAATAGTGATTAGAATAGCTTGCTAGTCTGAACTCCCGCGGTCTCCATTAACATGGGTCACGTGTTGGGCATGATAATATTAAAATTCAGAGTATCTGATGTTATATTTCTTTGGTCACATGGAAAATCATCTCAAATTATACATGCTCTTCACTAATGCCTAATTTTGTTGGTCACAGTTGAGCAAGGAGACAAAAGGTGGAGATGTTGCTCAGAAAGTTGCTGTTTATCAGAATGCAAACAAAGAGGTAAAGTCCAGTGTCGGAGTGAATGTCTACTTTAACCTTGTTGTTCAGATGTCTAATTCTCGTCGTGTCCGTCTTAGGTTGCAATCATTTGTAATCATCAACGTGCGGATCCAAAGAGCCATGGTGCCCAGATGTTAAAATTGAACGAAAAGATAGATGAAGCAAAGGTGATAGCCTAATTTCTCATAGTCGGACTCTATTTCTGATTGCTGATGCAAGACTTGCTTTTTCGTCATTTTTCTTCAACCCCACCCACCACCCCACCCTACCCACACCACTTTCCCCTTTATATTTTCCGCTGGTTTGCGTTTTCTTGTTCATTTTGGTAGCGTGCCTCAATTTTTTTGGCATTTGGTTTTTCAGGCTCTTCTCGAGGAACTGCAGATAGACCTGATCAGGGCAAAGAAAGGGAAGCCACCGGCAAAGAGTGCTGATGGTAAAACAAAGAGGAATTTGACTCCAGAAGCGTAAGTTGGCATTATTTATTTATTCATTTCTCACTATTAATGGAATTAATGTGGACCATTACTGGTTATCAGTTTTATCATGTTATATACTTGATGGGGGGCAATGGCATGCAGATTAGAGCGGAAGATAGCTCAGAGCATGGTGAAGGTTGAAAAAATGGAACGGGACAAGAAGGTGAAAGAGGATATGAAGAATGTGGCGTTGGGTACGTCTAAGATTAACTACAACGATCCCAGGATCAGTGTTGCATGGTGCAAACGCCATGAAGTTCCTATTGAAAAGGTAAAAATGTTTTTCCATCCATCCATGTTATCCTTGAGTGAGATTAAGATTTTGTGGCACAACTCCAGTAGGCTCCTTTTTCAGATGATTGCAACTTACCCGTGCAGGTTTTCACCAAGTCTCTTCTTGCGAAGTTTGTTTGGGCAATGGATGTTGATCCTGATTTCAGATTCTAAAGTATGTTTGGTACTTACTCCATCCCAAAGGGCACTCTCTCCCCCAACAGATCATTAAAAAAAAAAAAAAAGAGAGAGGAACTCGGCCACAACCCAAAAAAAAAAACTGAAGTTGTAAACTTTTACTTGAAACAATCTAATTTATTTTATTCGTGAATTGTACTGTCTGAATGAAATTGGGGGATGTCTGCCCCGTTAATTTTAGTCTGCGAACTTGAAAACACAAATTTTGAACGTCTGAATTGTTCCTGTTTGATTAAGTTTGCAATGGTAGTTTCTGGAAATAGTATCTCAAAGGCATTGCACTAAGTATTGATATCATACCCTGTACCTTGAGCTACTTCTTGTGAAATGGTTGGATCATACCCTGTACCTTTAGTTGCCATATACTTCCTTGGGGACTTACCTTCTTCCTTGGCCATGGCCATGAAAGTCAAATATGTCTTCTCCTGCTCGATTACGCTAGCATACTAGTTCAGAAATGAGGTCGAAAAATCCTCGAAGTCCCTCATCGACCCCGGGAAAAGTGGGTGAAAATTGTCATGTGTGCCTCTCTCAAGGTCGACAAGGACACCTTGCAACTCACAAAATCAGAATAACCATGTAGTACCACCATATTTTCAAACGACCTCACGTGCCTCAATGGACCGTCGACCCGTTGTATGTCAGACTGATCTCTCGAAAACTGTTCTGCAACACCGAGTCGAGAATCTCCCTAGAAAAAGGGTGTCCTTGAGCTCTGCCAACTGGCTTACCATCTACTTTAGCCTTTAGTTAGCGGATCTGTTCCGTCATCCTTTCGACGCGCTCGATCTCTGTTCGCACCAAGGCCTCAATGCTTGACTCTTCCATGTCCTTCTTTATGCTGGTCGTCCCCACCACCATGGTCGACGCTGTGGTTGTTTGCGAAGTGTGATGATTGGCCTGCTGCCCTACTGCAATCGCGTAAGTTATCATCCTGTCCTACTCTTCCCGTGACAAGGTCACCAGCTGGCCTCACTCGACCTCACTCTTTGATGGTGCAACCGATGGTACTTGAACTTGATCTGGTTGTGCCACCACCACACCCTGAACAGCTCGAGCTTCCTGTGCCTGGCTTGAGCCCGCGACGTTACCAGGGACCATTGATGAACTCCCTAAGCCCGTAAGACAAGGCATTGAGGTCCGAGAAGGTCCGGAGAAACCCAGAGGTGGGCCTGCTCTGAACAGACGTGTGTTCGGCCACGGTCAAAATTCTGCTCCATTTTTTTTTTTTTTTTTTAGAATTTTGCCTTCCATGGCTATGGTGTTTCACGGTTTTTTGAACGAAGTTCCACAGACGACGCCAAAATGGTATGCAAAGTACCTCAAACCAGTTGAAAACGGCCTGAACTCGAGCTCCCTCACCGGTAGATCGCTTGCGAACCTGGAAAAACTTTCACACCAGAGTAGTTTTTCGGTGAAGAGTCTCCGATGCTTAGATGAACAATTGTAGAAGATGAAATGCAGAAAATAGTGTATGGAATAATAGAGAATGTAATGTGATAACGTGCATACCTCACTCCATGATATAGGGAGATGATACTTTATTGCTCGGATTGGCTGTCCAAACTAATCGAACGGCCGGAGCTGTCCCTATCGCCCGATAGTACATCCCGAACTTCCCAAACTGCTCGATTTGCTTAAACTGACCAATTCTGTTAGGCTACGTGGCCCTATCCGTGTGCGACCTTTAACCGCTTAAGATTTCTTCTTATCCATTAGTATTTCATATTAGACTGCCTAATGGTGCGGCCAACCCGAGGTCTGCTGAGGTAGAACGTTGCATGTTGTGAGCCCAAGTGTTGTCCTTTTTGGTCGATCGTATGACCAACCATACCTACAGTTTGAGTTT